GGCAGCCTGTTCAGTGCTCTGTCACCCTTGCAGTAAAAAAGTTTTTCCTCATGTTCAGGTTGACCCTCCTATGCTCCAGCTTGCACCCATTGCCCCTTGTCCTGTCATTGGCTGTCACTGAGAAGAGCCTGGCTCCTTCCTCCTGACACTCACCCTTTACAAATTTATAAACATTAATGAGGTCACCCCTCAGTCTCCTCTTCTCCAAGCTAAAGAGACCCAGCTCCCTCAGCTGCTCCTCATAAGGGAGATGCTCCACTCCCTCCATCATCTTTGTGGCTCTGCGCTGGACTCTTTCAAGCAATTCCCTGTCCTTCTTGAACTGAGGGGCCCAGAACTGAACACAATATTCCAGATGTGGTCTCACCAGGGCAGAGTAGAGAGGGAGGAGAACTTCTCTCAACCTACAACCACACCCCTTCTGATACTACTTATGCTCTATGAAGAGTTAGGATTTATATTGTTGGCCTACACATTGTTACTGAACTCAAGGCTTCACATTTGCAGTTTTTCTGTGTGACTTCTGTAAATTCTTCTGTAGTGGCTGAATGGCCCTTGTGCTTGGAATCAAGGGAGCTTTGCTTCCTCCCTCTGTTTGCTTTAAACATTTTATACATCACCCTTGCTGCCTGCTCAGAGATGGCTCTGGAGTTCTTGCTTTCATGTTCTGTTACCTGCGTACTGCTGGGGAAATAAAGCCATTTTAGGTGTGTTTTTATCGGTTACAGGAAAAAATTCAGTATCCTGCTATATCTGTGGCTACTGGAGCAGAATTTTTTTTTGTTATGCTAATATTATTCCCATGTGAAATGCTTGCAAGAAGTTAAAAGTATCATTTGAACTGGTGAACAAGAAAGTTTAATTAGAAATCAAACCAGATCTGAACAACTCCAGCAAGAGTAACTACATGAGCTGTGCCTTTTTCTTGTGCTTTCTTTTTCTTCTAAAATTTTTCTACGTCTTTGTTCATTTTTTTGCTGTCCTTCCTTCTTTCTTTGTAGTTCTCCATGTTTGTTTCCTTTTTTCCCTGGTGAAACTTTTCTGGAATACATGTGTCTGCTCCAGCGTGACCAAAGGGAGAAATGCAGCCTTATTTTTCAAACGTGTTCTCTTGTTTTATGTGTTTACCATAGCAACAAGATGCAAATGAAGAACAATGAAAGGGGTTTAACATCAGTTTAACTCACAGTGAGTTTAATGCATAGAGAAGGTCTGTTCAATATGTATTTCAAAATGTGAAAAACTGCTGATTCAGAGCTAATGATTAATTAGCAATAAGTATTTCCTGGATAAATTCTCTATGGAAATAAGGTGTGAGGAGGGAGTACCATCTGGTCCTTTATTTTTGTTGGTGTCCTCAGCAGATTTGGTAAAGTCAGCCACTGCTGGAATAATTGATTTTTGTTTAAAGAACTTTTTTTTTAATCAGCTGACAAATGCTAGGCTTGCTGTTTGGGACAACGCACCCTTTAAGCATCTTTAGGCCTTTAAGTCTACCTAACAAAAATGAATGACATATCCCTTGAGCCTGTTTACTGTGGAGTTTCAACACAGAAAACTCAGAGCAACACAACCTTAGTAAAAGGTTATGATATTATTGCTCTGCTATACACAGCAGTTCAAGTTGAATAGTGCATTTCCATTGTTGGATTTAAAAATGGGTTAAAGGACTTCTTGTCAAGGTAATTTTTTGTGTCTCACTGGTAGTTATTACATTCATGCTGTTGCAGTAACTCTACATAGTTCAGTTGACTAACAAATACCTAACTCTTTGCAGGACATTAGATTTAATGCAGATTTTCCATAGTCGCTTTTAAATACTCCGCGTTTCTTGAAATGCTTTCTCTTGTATACTGTAGCTTTGAAGGACACTTATTTTCCCTTTCACTTACGTTCAACATAATTGAACCTTTAAAGACATGAATAAAACATGATTCTCAAGGTGAATGAGAGTTAAAGGACTATAGCATGCTTTAGCTTGATGGTTCAACTACCACAGCTGAGCACATGGAAGATTATAGCTAATAGGACTAGACAGAAAACATTTCTCTTTTGTGAGAGATCTCAAAGTCTGACACTTTATTGTTTCTGCTCTGGTTTCTGTGATAATAGAAGAGTTAGATCAAACAGGTTTTTATGTTGGCCTGGTCTAATTTTATTTGAGGTCCTAAACAAAGGTCTTCTACCTCTTGGGTCAATGCTCCAGCCACTTGGTTATTGTTGTTGTTTAAGCCTGTGTATTTTTTTTCAGTGACTATTTTTTCCTCCCATTTCTAACCATGTTAGTTGTCTTTTGTTTAATACTTCAAAAGTTAAGTTAAGGAGGCATCTTAAGCTGAAAAACTATGTAGCTGTGGAGTATTTATGTTGGTCAAGAGACTATGCTGAAGTACATGACTTGTTAGCAATTTTGATTAAAGGGTTGTGCAAGTCATCAGTAATAGTTTAAATCATAAGAGTATTCTCTAGAAATATATTGCAAATAATGAAAAGTAGTCTTATGTAATTCACTTTCTGCTAAGAAATGTCCCATGTACAGTTTAACCCTTAGCATTGTATATAACGTAGGAACCCAGATAAGCCGCTTTCTTTGAAGCATTTGGTACCACGTTGCCTGTGAGACTGCATCTTCTAGGAATAAAGTGATAGGGAGGTAGACTGACTTAAGTAAGATGTCTTTATATAACTTATTGAAAATAATGAAGTTACTTATCTAATTAACTTTGTTTTTCAAAGCCAGTAGTTCTTAGCATTCATTTTGTTGAACATTTATTTGTTCCCTTTAGCATGGGACTAATTGGGAGATGAGCCCTGAGACTTTTTGTGTCACTCTGAGTAGCTCATTATCTTGGAGTTCTTGGAGTTGCTAATCTCTCCCTCAATAGTATTGATTAAGTATATTTGTCTTCCTTTGTGCTTGATTCTGTCCTGGGACAGAATCTGTGTCCCCCCATCTCCACCCTCGTGGACATGAAAGGGCTATGAGTGTAGGTAGTAAATCTTTTGTCTTTTTTAAATATTGTTTTCCTGCTCTTCCCTCCCCATGCTCCGCAGGCGCTTTGTGTATTGTCCTCTCAGAATTATGTCATAAGCTCCTCGAGCCAAAGACATAGCTTCAAAGTATAGTAAACACAGTGTAATATAAATAATACATGATGTAGTATCATGAGAAAAGCAACTGCCACTAAAACACCTGAGTTAGTCATTACTTTCTATGAAAAGTATTACAATGAAAAATTCTGGTTTGCTAAACCATGTATATGGCTTTGTTTCTCCCTTCCCCCACTATTTGTTTCTGTGCAAAGGGAAGAAAAATTAGGCCTGTACCAGGCACTTTGATCTGTAGGAAATCGCTGACTTTTTTTTTTTTTAAATCTGCTAAGCAAAGCATACATTGCTTCATTTTTCACTCTACGTAAGTTGTCCAGGTAAGGTTTATTTCACTTCCTGGGCTCAAATGCATTCCTTTTGAAGTCTGGTCTTTAATTCTAAGTACATATGAAATCATAATTTTTAGACACTGGGTCTGTATTGTGAGGAGCGGCTGAGGGAACTGGGGTTGTTTAGCCTGGAGAAGAGAAGGCTGAGGGGAGACCTCCTCACCACCTACAACTACCTAAAGGGAGGTTGTAGAGAGGTGGGTGCTGGTCTCTTCTCCCAGGTGATGGAGGACAGAACAAGGGGAAACGGCACCAAGCTGTGCCAAGGGAGGTTCAGGTTAGAGATAAGGAGGAAGTTCTTTACTGAGAGGGTTGTCAGAGGCTGGAACAGGCTGCCCAGGGAGGTGGTGGAGTCACCATCCCTGGATGTATTTAAAGAGTGGGTAGACGAGGTACTTAAGGATATGGTTTAGGGGATAGACAGGAGTGGTTGGACGTGATGATCTCGGAGGTCTTTTCCAACCGAGCGATTCTGTGATTCTGTGTGATTCTGTGATGCCTTGATATCATATTATATCATGCATGTGAATAACTGGTATATTTGGGAAAGGTTGATTTGTTTTGTAAGCAAACTGCTTGAAACACATTAAAGACTAGAAAAATATTTTCATGTTGGGTTAAGGGGGCGTAAATATCTGAATATATATTTTTCTAGACACAATAGAGAAAAGAAGGATCCTACTTTTAACAGTGAAGAGGTAGTAGGTCAGAGAGAAGGCCACCTGTTCAATCTGTATGACTTAGAGCATGGCCTATGCTTCTGTGTAGTCTAATCAGCCAGCCCATCACTCAGGAACAATAACATTGCCATTCTGATCTTCACTAGCAGAACTTTAAGTTTCACAAAAGTGGATTGGTGTTCAATGAGGTCTAAAATGAGACCTGAGATAGGGCTGAGCTGGTATTGACATGTAAACTATTTGACAATTAAATACCAGTATAATTCAACACCCTTTAAAAAATTTTCTTGGTAAAAAACCCTAATTCAAAAAAACACTCCCAAAAGTCTGAAGCTTTTGGGAGTGTTTTTTTGAATCAGGGTTTTTTTGGGGGGAGAGGTGCATGTAGTTGATTTTTTTTGTTTGTTTTCTTTCTTCCCCACACAGTCCGCCAAGTGAGCTACACTGGGTGGTCACCCAGTCAACCTGCTGTCTTGGCTCTGCATTTTAAAGTGTCGCTGCAGATATATTTCATTGTTGTTGTTAGTAGAGCTTCTGGGGGATGGATGGACTTTTCCTTGTTTTCTAAATGTCAACAAGTAAAACCTTGGTAGACCCTGAGGAGGAAGAAATGTTGTACAGCTGAGAGCTTCAGATGAAAGTGCTTTGTTCTGTGCTTGCAGCCCTGAAAGCAGGGCTGGCCCATGCCAGGCCAATGCTGCTGTTGATTTTTAATTCTCATGACTGCTGAGATGCTTCTTTGGGAACAGGGGACTTGCATAAAATGGCGTCGACCTACATTTTGAATGATAGTTGACTGAAAATAAAAGGGCCGGTGCGCTCTCTGCTGCTACTGTAGGCAAGAATGCAAGTGACTATGGATAGTGCCTAAAAATTAAGCATGAAACAGCAGTGTTTTATTGTGGCAGAAGAAGACACCTTTACCTCTTGTCCTCTCAGTGTGAACCTCAGTAAGGAGCTTGGCTCTGTCTTCTTGGTAATCTTCTCTTCTATTGGAAGAGAGCAGGCAAGGTCTAAAAGCCAGGAAGAGACTGCAGAGCTCTGTGCCTACGATCTGTTGGAAAAGGTGAGATATGGGCCACAGCTTCAGCAAAAGGGATGCACCCCCTTCTCCAGATGAGTTTTAAGTATGGTGGAGCAGATTCTTAGGGGACTGACCATCATCCAGCAGTGCTGGGGGTATGGCTGCTATTAGAAGGTAGTGTGGTAAGCGTACACACCATGAAGTATTGGAGGCTTCTAAGGTCTGTTCCTTCCCCTCATCCAACCCTACCCCTATGTGTTCTGAACACTTACTCGTGGTAGATGTGATGTTGCTGTGAAGGCATTTGGAGTGTGATTCAGTGGTGGGTAACAATCTGCTTTCCTCTTCTCCTAGTGGGAATACGTGGTGGTCATCTTCTGCCTGCATTGCCTCTGCCACAGTTTATGCTCCCTTATTCTTTTGGCCAAGCTATCAAGAATAATTAACCTCTGTCACTGCTTAATGTTTCTGTGCTTTTCAGATGTTTGTGCTGTCCTTGGCCGTCTCATAGAATAATGGTGTCTGTTTCCCTCTCCCCTCCGTGACAGTTCATGCTTCATTCTGTCAGCTCTTCTGACTTGCTCAAACAATATCTTCTGTAAGTCAGGAAGAAATGCATACAGTAGCCAGTGGTTTATCACATGAGGCATGTGATAATCTTGTGAATACAAGCCAGAGCATCAGTTACTTATCTTGAAAGTTTCTTGCAATTCTTTGGAAATAAATTCTAATTTGAGCATTATCAGTTTTTGTCTTGTCTATGAAAAATTGATTTTAAGATCTGATTTATTTCTCCAGGTTTGTGTGTTTGTATAATGTGTGTGGAGCACTGGGCAAAGTTAACATTCAGCTTGGTTTGTACTGTTGGATATCTGCCTAGTACCTGCGTAAAAGCTGTCTGGTTGAAGTTCAGTCTGTTTAAAACAGGAATGTATTGGTAGACTGAGGAAAGTGCTTCAAAGCTCATAATAGCATCTTTGGAGGATACATGCTTTTCATTTTTCAGATTGCAACTAAGAAATGCTACTGGCTCCCAGGTTTTATCAGATATGTCAAGGAAATTTGACTAATTGTAGTCTAGCCGGACAACTGACTTTTTAAATATATGTATATTCTGTAATTTATACATGCATTTTTCATGTCAAGATTAAACTTGTTTTTGCCAAGGCTTTATGTCTAACCAAGGAATATGGGGCAGAACACTTGTAACATGTGGCATTGTTTTAGTGCAAATTGTTCTTCTGTTTTGCTGCCTTCTTGGTATAGAGGGGGATGGTCACTCCTGCACAGCAATGTGTGTGAGAGGTCCTCTCCCTTGCTCAGAAGGTACGTGGGTTGGCATTATGTTATTTTTTCCATTCTGTTAATAAAAAATAAACTGTAGTATCTTGACTGTTAACAAGCAAAAGAGCAATAATTTGAATTCAGTGTATTAGTGCATTACATGCTCTAGTGATAGTAACTGTAATTCAAATACTAAATTTGCAAACTTGTTTTTCTTGAGTCACTCTTGCTATTTTCTGTAGGGTGTAGGGTTTTTGGTTTGGTTCTTCCTTGCCAGCTAATAACGCATTGGCCATAACACATTGTAAGACCTTTTCCCTCTGAGTCACTTTACTTTTAAAGTGCGATATAAAATTAGGTTGTTGAGGTTTATTTTCCTTATCTGTTTGTCCTTTAAGGCTGACAGCTCCATCTCTGGAGATCTTAGAAGTAAATGAGAAAGGAAATCAGAAGTAAGTAAATCAGAAGGAAAACTGCTAGCTGAACCAAAGACATGGGTATATTAATATGTGAGCATTAGTGTTGGTTGGTGTAAAGTGATACTGGATGGATAACTTATATAGTACTGCTGGGAGAAATAGCTGAAAGCAATTTCTGTGTTTAAGGGATCTCTCTCTGCTGCAGCCATTACCAGTACTGTGAGTTCTCTGGACATACAACTACCTACTGTGGTGGGTAATGCCAAATACCCTGTATACATTAGTGTCTCTGCTTCTGCGAGCCAGTGTGAGCAAATGCCCGCTTAGGGGTCATCTCACTTCCGAAGTATTTATTCAGTGTTTAACGAAGCACTCCTGTTGCTTATTCATGTAGGTACAAGTGGAGCACAAAGGTAGGGGATATCTTCAGTTAATTTGGAAATGGCTGAAGAGTTCTGTTCCCAGAGGAAATGGACTTTCAAAGCTTTCCCTTTCTTCTCCCAGAGGTAGGTAGGAATGACCTAGAGCTAGGAACTTAGCAGTTTCCAGTTTTATTGTGAATTCTGAAAAGTTCAAGGACAGCCAGAGCTTTTTTATTTTCTTCTAATCCTTGTTCAGTTCAGTGTGCTTGTGACTGATGATCAGACCGAGAGCCAGAGATTGCACAAGGACCTCTTATGTGGGGTGTAGGTTGGTTGGTTGTTTTTTTCTAAAAATGCAAACCCAATTTATTTTTTTTGTCAAGGTTTTCTCACTCGTTTGAGTCCTGGTCTAGTTTTTTTACTTAAAATTGTTAACTAAGGTAGATGACAAAGGACTTAAAATATCAGATTTTATTGTTTGTTTAAAAACAAACCCAACATGGTTCCAGCAAGACTTGCTAGAGGTGCTGAAGCTAGCAGGTCCTGCTGTGGCGGCAAGTTTTAGGTGGAACGTCACTGCTGTACTGTTTTCGAGCTGCTGAGTCTTTGTGTTGCTCCATTTTTGCTGCCTTTGCGAGACCCCTCTGCCAACACTGCTGCTGTAGATGAGAGGTCAACAACCTGAATGCACTGTTGTGCAGTGGCTGCCTGGGAACAGAGTGCTGAATTCTTTTTGGTTTGAACTGAAAACTGTTGGTGGTACCTCCAGATCAGGAAGATGATGGGTAGTATAGAAAAGACACAAGAGATCGTGCACATTTTTTTATCTGACATACTGTGTAATGCCAGTCAACTGGATTTGGGTGAGAATCCAATTATGTGTTTAGTTAAAAGCATGATTGTATGTGAAGTGCAACCAGACTTGACCTCAAACTTCAAGAGACAGGGAAATCCTCTGCTTTCGTTAGTTCCAGGTAATCTCCCTCCCTGTCCTGAATCTGTTGCTCACTTAGAGTCTAGAAATGGTTAACTCTGGTAAGTATAGTTGGGAAATAGGCTATTTGGAGTTTCCTATGGGCCCTGCTAATTATTCATGTGATGAGGCTTACATAAGGGCTGCATTGCAGTTACACTTCATTTGATGACAGAGTTCTGTATTTCTGTGTAAACAAAAGTCAAGTGATAAGGCATGGGCAAGCAAAGTCTATAGTTGAAATCTGGGAGAAAACAGACTTTTCTGGGAGGATCTTAAGGTGGTGCTATCTGCTTAACCATCATGTTTCTTTAAAAACAAAAAACCTTACAGGATTTTATTTTAAAAGGGAAAAAAAAAAGAACTGAAAGAGCCTTCGTTGCTATGACTGTTCCTTGCTTTAGCATTTCATCACATTCAGTGGTGAAATCAGTTAAATCGTACAATTAAAATTTGTGTTGCATGCATTAGCAAAATTCTAAAATTTAAAACGGCACAGAGATTTTTCTCTTTAGCTTTGACACAGAAATTGTAAAAGCAGACTGTCATGGAAGAATTAGAAGTACCTGTTTTAGAGAAATCTGAAAATTCTGGAGAAAATAAATAGTATTGATCTAACACCCTTTTAAGACCTTGCTTATTACTTTCTGGCAGTTTGTATAGAGCACCAGTTAGCTTAAGAAGTTTTGACTAAATATTCAAATTTTCTTTCTGAATGTCTTTTACCTTAGCATATGCTGGAATAAACAATCTTCTGCCTCTTGACCCTTGTGCGTATAGGTGTGGGAGGGAGCTGCCTGGTTCATAGCAGTTGGCGATGCTGAGTTTGTAGCTTGTGTTATAACCCATTCTTCTGACTTCTTGATGCTGGTGAGGAAAATGGTCTGAAACAGCTTTAAAGTTCTGGATTAATATGTAGATATATCTGTCTGTAGCTTTTGGTAAATGTATGATCCTTTATGAAAGCTTTATATAAGCTTTAGCGTAAGACCCTCCCTGGCTTTTAGGCACTACCAGGGTGCCATTATCACATTATTTAGTACGAGCTCACAGTTTTCCACTTCCCAGCAAAATTTCTTGTTAGCTTAGGTATTGATCCTGGAAAACCTTGTGTGCAGCTCCCTTTGTGTACTCTCCTGTTAGGTCTCATTTAGGCCAAAGGGGTTCTTATTTTGTCTGATAGTAAGTGCTCGGAGGAATGAAGTATTTGGTTATAAGTTTTGTATCAAGGACTATAGCCATCTCAGTTGGTTCTACTGTAGTCCTGATAGGTGAACGGTTACTGTAATCTTAAATTTCTAATGCAATTTGAAACAGATTATTTTATGTAAGAATAGTTGTTTTGAAAGCATCTGTGCTACCTCCAGTGCATAAGACTATGAACTCTCATGCAGACAAAGCACAAGTGATCCGCATTGATGATTTCTGAGAGCAGCTGGGAAATGCCCAATTTGGAAGTATTATGTGCCAGGAAGAGCTGATTTAATTCATTCAAGACAAAGAAATGGGTTTTGACCCTGAAGAAGCTTGTCAGGACAGGCTTTTCTTTCTGTCCCCAAGGAGCAGCAGCCAAGCGTTGAGCAGACTGAAGTGATCCCAGGATCAGGTGTTGCTGCTGTGCGCGCTGGAGCCAAGGGAGGCTGGCAGAGAGGAGCAGAGCAGTGCCCGGGCTGGCAGCTGCGCGCAGAACAGGAGGATTGTTCCAGAGATGGAGACAGGGCCTCCTATGCCTGTAATGTAAAATTGAGAAGTGCTTTTCATTTGTGTGACCTACCTTCCTTTTTTTTTTTTTTTTTTTTTTTTTTTTTTTTTTTTTTTTTCTTTTTGTGTT